GAAAGGACCACCAGCCATATCTGCTTACACAGTCTCACTCTCAGAGGATGCCATTCCAATAGCAGCAGCAATTGGAATGGAAAATGCATAGGAAAGCTCTTAGATTGCCTTTGTCTACAGCCCTGTCTATAAGCCTAATCTAATTTCCATCTGTCTAAATACACTGCACAGTTCAGAAGGAAATCTGCATCCCTTGAACTGCTCTGCCACCTGGGCAGCAGCCTTCAGGATGGGAGTGAGGCACACAGCCTTGGAAAGCTCCAGTGCTCCAGAACATTCCCACATTCCTCGCCAACTGAATGYGAACACATGCTAACATTAATGGCCAAGATGAAGTTCTTCAAGGGTGGAACTGCTTATAGGGAAAGGAAGAACACGTACCTATACTTGGCACCTTCATCTTGATCCATCTGTGTTTGCACCTGAGCAAACCAGGAGAAGAACTAGAAGAGATTTTATGGTGTGAACAACAGAGATATCACATGCAATCAATTAAAAACAAAATAAAATCTATGATCTATGAAATGAAGATGAGCTTTCGTTAAAAACAGAGCTGTTTCASAATTCAATTATTAATCTAGGAAAGAAATTCCTCACTATAGGTCCTTTGCAATTGAAACATTCCATTCTATTCCTCAACTAAGCTAAARTGGGAAAAATTGAATTTCATCTGACTTTATTTGCACAAGAACAAGAGTATCACATTAGAAAGTGGAGATTCTTCTACATTAACAGCAACACCACTTCACTGAAGGGGTGCCTTATTCTCACATTAGACTCCACTCCAAACAGAAAAAGTACCTATCACTGAAGACTTTTCCCCAAATTTCCCCTTATGCATCTTGAAAACAGCCCAAAAGATTTAGCAAACCCACCAAAAGCTATGSAAGATACACAGACACTAACAGAATTCTCTGAAGATCACTTCATCTTGGAGGGTATTCAGTATCACTTACCTGCTGTGCTGTTTCAATTCTTTCATCCTCCATCCCCAGTGATGTAAATCCCTTCAAAAGGACATCCTCTGTGGATTCTGGCACCGCAGCTGTCAGCATAACAGGCAGTGACTGGGATGTCAGGCTGCACAAGTCCTCAATTGGAAGCTGTTCATAAAACACCAAAACTTTGGTTAGGCAACTCACTGAGAATTAGTAAGTGCAGCTCAACTGTAAAGAAATCCAAAGAAATAAAATAAGAAAATTACAGGCATCTGTTTTTGAAGAAACAAATGCAATGGACATTTTATCTATCAATATGATAATCACAGAATCATTAAGTTTACAGAGACCTCTAAGATCACTGCRTCCAACCATTACACCAACTACTACACCTACACATTTAAAAACACCACTCAGGAACTGTCAGATTTTTTTGCCAGATATTCAAGGGAAATTCAAGACTTAACGCTGCCATGATTATTTGGAAGACAAGAAATAGCTCTGCTGAACAGGAATTATTTTTTAGCCACAATTATTTTGTTTAAGCAAGAAAAATATAGAAAAAATTACCTTGGGATAAGTTGTATCTCAATTTATCATCCTTTATTTATATCATCCTATTTATCCATCCTTTATTTATATCATCCTCCAAGTATGACAGGAGGCTATTAATTAACTTGTATGGAAGAAATTAATTCAAGAAAAGAAACCTGTTATATACATTTAACTAATATCCTCTTTAATTACATGATATGTATGAATTGTATGTTTTCTAAGAAAATCAGTAGGGTAAAAACAGAAAATATTGCTTAACTACAAACTGTTATCTGTCTAGAAAACAACTCAGTAAAATATTCCTTGCCTGGTCATACTAGTCCAGCAAAGAAGGAACCATCATATTTCAACTATTTGAAAAAGCACAGATAGTTATACATTGTCCAACTTCCACACACCTCTCTGCCCTGCCCCACAAAACAGAGCTGACTCTGGAAGGGGAGCCAGGGTTTCTCTCATGTCTAATATGGAGGGAAAGGCAAGTCCATCAGAGACTGCTGTTTCAGGGCAGCTGAGACACCACTGTCCCACCTCCCCGAAGAACAAAATGTCTTAGCATTGCTGTTGTCCTGACTGGCAAATACAGCACCTGCCTTGTTGCAAAGCTGGTTTAGATCCTTAGGAACATCCTCTCATAGCAGGACATCCTTCTACACTCATTTTGAATGCCTGCCAATATTTACTTTTTGCATACTGCTTACACAAAAAAAAGAGGAACCAGGAAGGATTAATTGAAACAGGTGCATTTGAGAAAGGAATTGCTTTACACAGTCCCTTTTGCAGTTYGGAGCTTTCAGACACTTGCTGAGAGCAAACTTTGTTGATTTTATGGCACTATCTCTTGTGCTATGATCCTGCTCAAATACAAATCCACTGCTGAAAAGTGCACTTAGGGAATGCAAACATTCTGCTCCACCACCCTTTGTATACAAGGGAAAGCTCATAAATAATCTCTCTGTCAGAGTTTGGAGTGCTATAGCTAAGTGACAKACTATGTCCTCTATGGTGCTGACGAATCATTAAGCTTTTTACCACTATTACCGCCTTTCCACAGCTCATTCGAGAGCCTGCAAGTCGTACCAGGAAATAAGACTGGCGCCAAYAGCTACACATTGGTACAGATCACGTTAAGAGGACTAAAAGAATGAACTCTWCCACTAAACCTCCCAGTTTCAAGAGGACAAATGCTGGTGGACTGGAGCAAGCAGCGAGGGCAGGCAAAGAAAGTCCGTGGATTCTTAGAGGAGAGCTCCCACCACTGCCTACAAATCCCTGCAAGCCAGGGCGGGCGGACYGGCGGCATGGGGTTCCTCGGGAAGGCTGCAGGCAGAGCGAGCCCCCGAGGGAGGGCGAGAGGCTGGGGACGCGGTGCGGGCGCAGTCCGGATGGCAGAACGCTGCTGAGACCCCTAAAGCCCGGGAGCAGGCGCGGCCCCGCAGGCCCAGCCGCTCTGGCCGGGCAGGGCCGTCACACCCGCCCGCCTGGCGACGTGGCACCGCCACCCCCCGCCCTCGCTCCCGCCCGCTGCCCCTCCGGACCGGGCAGCGCCGCCGCCTCACCTCGGGAGGCACCGGCAGGTTCTCGGCGGCCGCCTTCAGCTCCAGCACCGAGTCGGTCTGGCGCTCGCTGAGCGGCGCGGTGGGCTGCGGGCGGCGGTCCCAGAGGCTGAGGCGGTCCCGCACGTCCCTGGCCGCGAGCGGCGGCTCCGCGGGCGGCGGTTCCAGCATGCTGCCGGCGGCGGGACGGGCGGCCGGGACGGGCCGGGAGCGGGGCCGGGAGCGGGGCCGGGAGGGCGGCGGAACGCCGGGAGCGGGGCGGCGCTTCCGGGGGAGGCTCGGAGCGCACCGCGCCGCGTCGCGTGGCAGTGACGTCACGAGCAGGCAGGGATAAGTGCGTCATGAGGGGCGGCTGGCCGGCATAGCGCCCCCTGGCGCCTTGGAGGAGCGGGGGCGGCTGCGGCACCCCCGAGTCCCCAGATGGATGCACGGGATCACAGACTCGCTTGGAAAAGACCTCGGATTGTCGAGTCCAACCYAGGACCAAACACTTSCATGKCARCTAGACCATGGCACTGAGTGCCACGTCCAAGTCATTCCTTAAGCACTCCCAGGGACGGTGATTCCACCACAYTCCTGGGCAGCCCATTCCCACGTCTACCGACCCTGAGAAGAAATTCCCCGATATCCAACCTGGATCTCCCCTGGTGCAGCGGGAGGCTTTGTCCTCTCACTGTGTTGCTGGTTCCATGGGAGAGGACACCACCCCCTGAGCACACCCTCCTTCCCGGTGGCTGTAGGAGTGATGAGGTCCCTGCTGAGCCTCCTTTTMTCCAGGCTACACATCCCAGCTCCCTCAACCCCTCTCATGGGATTTGTGCTCCTGGCCCTTCCTCAGCTCGGCTGCCCTTTCCTGGACATGCTCCAGCACCTCAATTCCTGAATTGTGGGGCCCAGAACTGGACATAGCACTTGAAATGTGGCCTCACCAGTGCCAGGTACAGGGACCACACTGTTGCTGATACAGGCCAGAATGCCATTGGCCTTCGGAGCCACCTGGGCACRCCTGGCTTGTGTTCAGCTGCTGTTGGCTAGCACTCYCAGGTCCTTTTCTGCTGGGTCACTCTCCAGCCCCTTTCCCCAGCCAGCAGCACTGCAAGGGGGTGTTGTGGCCAAAGYGTAGAACCTGCACTTGGTCTGGTTGAACCTCCAGGCAGAGACCGCCACATCCATGGCTGTCCCAAGGACACTGGTGGGCAGCGTGGCAGCTGACTCACTCCTTCCGTTTCCTGGAGCCTTCTTTCCTGAGGCAGCAAAGGCCATCATCTTGGTTTGTTTTTCATTTTTGTAAACTTAAAYCTTTTATCATTACACACCAAATCCTAACTAAGGCACAGCAGAATTACAGAGGTTGAAAAGAACTGSAGGGATTCACTGCAATAGTCTCAGCTGAGATCTTGAACTACTATTTCACTGTTTTGCATTTGGTGCTTAGCAGTTGATGYCACTCCATCTTGCCCAGCTCTCCCTCTGCAGCTTCCTCACAGATTAACTAGTGCAGGGCAGTTACTGTCACTCCCAAGTGGCAGATTCTTCATCCCCCTCAGAGCTGGTCTATCACATTTATCCTACCACACATGATATTCAGAACCCTAGTCTGGTTACCAGTGTGATAAACTTACTCTGWGGCTACACAAAGCAAAGATGATTGATCTGTTTCAGACCAGTTTCTGTAAAAGCAGGGGAAATGGTGTTACTGTTTAAGATATGCCAAAGAATAGTGAAAACCTGTGGTCAGTGCATGTTATTCAGCCATAAGTCATAGCAAGACAAGCATTGAACTGCAGCAGCTTTAGTCTGCCTTGGATAAATAACCAAGAGTTTGGTATCCAAATAACTGAGTATCCAGTTCAATGCCAGCAACAGCCTTCCTTTCTTAATCAGCTTGAAGTATTTGAAACACCCCACTAACACTTGAAACTTAAAAAGTGAAAGCAGTTCTGAGTCARCACACCTTACATTTTAATACTTTTAATAGGCTTAAAAATGTAAAACATACACTTTGCTTACACAGCATACAAAAATATTTACAATTGTTTTTATTAAAGCACAGAAACAATTTTAAGGGGAAACACTGCACCTCAGCGTGCCCCTAWATATAGAAAACATTGTCCTTTAGGAAAGAAAGTGCCTTGTGCATTAAAAAACCCATTTGTGAATTCAAAATTAGTAGTTTTAATTTATTACAGTAATTTTGAAATCGCAACRAAATTTCTTTAAGTGGAATGCATGATTCTGTGAAAAACGTGTAAAATATTAACACAATACCACAAAAATACAAAGCTATGCATCCTGCTTTGCTGACCTCTCTAAACACAGATCCATCCCATGGACTTGCATCTCACACATTGCTTTTTCCCAGAATTTAACAGCAGCATTTAAGAAGCAGCCTGCTGTAACTGTTTAGTTAATGGCCCTGAAGTTTTRATAAACCTTTAAGCCTAAAGGTAGTGTTTTATAGAAGGCTGTGGTTGATTTCCACGTCAAGTGTTTCCTTGTGCGTAACAGCAACTTAAGCCTCTTTGGTATATGAAAGTRTTCACTAGTTCTGGATTTGGGTGTCTGTTTCAAGAAGGAAAGCAGTCTTTGTAGTAGATTCACTTTTGGAGGGTTTGGTTCTTGTCACAGGCACCTGCATGACAGAGCCTGACTGCTCAGTGTAAAACTTGCACCTCAAGATGACACCTAAACCAGCCAGTAACCAGTAGTTCTTCCCAGTGATGGGAGAGGCATGGAAAGTTGCTCTGCAAGATCAGCCGATGGGTATGAACTTGTTTGAACTTCATTCCTACTTGCAATTTACATATGAATGTGTTGAAGAACCACTTATGCTGAACAGCAAGAATGATACATTGGAAAAAAACCCACAAATTTCTTCAAGCTAYGCAAAACTGTCAACTGTAGCAACCACACTTGCTAATGAAGCTGGATTACTCCCAGCAAATTATGCAGACATCTCAGAACTTAAAACACAGGAAAGCTTCAAAACCAGAAGCAGATTTTATACTGCCAACTTGAAAGCCAGCAAYGATGTCTTGTGACACTTCCAGTTAACTGGAAGCTCTAAGCTATTACCCTCAAATTGTATATACTTCTGAAATCAGGAAAAGCCCAGCTCCTTGGTTCTGCTTATCTTCCTTACAGAAATACTTTTCTCCTTTACAGAAATCCTTTTCCTTTCCTTCCTTTATGGAAATCTACAGAAATACAGAAGAAATAAACTGTTCTTTGACTCAAAACACTCTGCTTTGAGACTCAGATGCACAAAGTTGCATGAGAGATCTTTACATTCAAGAGCATTGAAAYAGTTGACAGAAGGTATTCCACCATGCTCAGTTCAGTCTGGAAGACAGTGCACATCATGCACTGAATCACATGCACAAGCCATGGTCACAGAAGCCAGTTTGCCTTGAAATCACTTCCAGGCTCTTCTCACTCAGTCTTGCAGTAACATCTTCCTTTGGCCAGCAGCTCGGACAATAAAGAGCAAACACTCAAGACAACTTCCACTTTGCTCTAAASTCAGTACATTAACAGAATTCTGTACACAGCTCAGCATGTCAGGCATCCAGCTTCTTCAGCTGTTCATATGTCAGAAAGAACTGGGACAGCTGATTAAGGAAAACTGTTTCATGTTCATGCAGTGCAAACTGGTCACTTTGCTACTGACGATCAGCTGCATCTGTGTGAAACTGCATTCCACTCCTTGTTCTTTCCTACACCATGCTGCAGGTTGGCCACTTTTTTACACAATACTAGGCAGAACAATCAAACTTGCTTTAAGGCTGGTGACAGAAATTACTTTCCCATTCCTTCTTCCTCAGGATCTTAAACCCAGGACTGAAGAGACAGGATAATACTGCAAAAGCCCTTAAGAGTCTCTGCTCATGTAGCTCTGATGGGCTACAGAAGGTTTGTTCATGGTAAAAAACACTACTACCAACCCACTTCCCATGGCTCTCATCAGCTGGCTCTTGAAACAAAGCCAAAATTGTGTGAGACTAAAACAAAAAGATTGCATCGTTAACTGCCAACCGTTTCCCCAGTTCTGGAGAGAGCCCCCATTTCTAACTCACCTGGTCAATTTTGTTTAAAACTAGGCTCAAAACAAAGGAAATGGACAGGGCTGAAATTGGAAGAGCAGAAAATTGTTTTTTAAGATCATGTTTTAATATTCACTTCATGTGAATCACAAATTCAATCTGACTGGAAGCAGTGGACTAAAAAAAACCTGTCAACTACACAATTTTYCATTCATAGAAAAAAGGGAATATCTGAGCTGATATGACACTTCCCACACTGAGTAATTCTGTGAAAAACAATYCTTGCTGTTGTATGGCTCAGTGGTTTTGCACACCTTTAAAAAGGATACAATGATATTCCAAGGACCAAGTCTTAACCAGTTTGGCCAAAAACCTTTATACAGGGCAAAAAAGCCTTCATTCTTCCATGTCTAGGGGGAAAAAACCAAAAACATAACAACAACACACTTCTGTAATTTTTTTTTAGTGAGAAATCCAGACAACATCTCAGCTAACAAGACTATATCAGACTTGATATAGTCAAAGGGGTGGCTTAGTCCTGTAACCTTAAACTTATTGTCTGACAGGACAAAGAAACACATTTCACTAGGTAAAAACAAGATTAATCCAAATTGCATTCCTGCACTTGGCCCCACCTCCTCTCCCCCCCAAAAAAAAGAACCAAAAAGCCCAAACATTTCTCTCCCCCCCCCCACCCCCCAAACGCCTTGCAGAGTACTGCCTGTAAACCTGAACATTAGGCAGTCCCTTGAAATATTTCACTTTGCTTTATGGACCTCACAGAATTTCACAAGACAATGCGACTTGGACTGATCAGTCAGCAGGTTGACACCAATAGCTTACTATCCATTCTTCTCCACATAAAAGGCCATCATGCTCCCACCTCATACCAAATTTAGAGACTTAAGAAACCAAATCAAAGTAATCAAAATCAGAGGCTGACCTTGCCTCTGGCTCTACTAGGCTTTCCATTATGCAGTAAGCAACAGAGGAAACCATCTCTTCTAGAAGATCTTGTTCTTTAAGAACTGACCTAGGAAATGGTAATTTTCTGTCAGCCTGACACAGYATAAACTTAAGAAAGAGAGACTGCTGCTGAGAGCCTTCCTCTCTTCATCCAAGCACCCAAAGGAAGCAAAGTTCTGCAGCAGACACTAACTTTCTTCCTGCCTTTCTGTCAAGAATACTTTTCACACKTAGTGCATTATTGGCTGCATAGTCCTTTTGAACATTATGAAAAAGCTAATTTACTAGGGAAAACAGAACCATTTTGAGCTCTACAGCAAAACCCTTGCTTGGTGGCAACAGTTTCTATTTATGCAGATACATGAAGTATTCACCTGTACCAAGCAATCCAAAGTGCCCTTGTARGCTGAGTGTCCCCCATGTTGCTGGCTTTTCTGATTCATCATGCGTGTCCTCACAACATCAACTGGGTTGGATGCAAGAGCTCCAGCTAACCCACAGGCAAAACTGGAACTAATAAAAGAAGGGTTTAATGAAATCTGATCTACCACACAGAGATGCACAAGAATTTCCCCTTCCCAGGAAACACAGTAATAATGACTGTTTAATGCTTTTAGTTAAAAATCAAATCAGTGAATGGATGTGAAAAGTTACTTTTCATTTACTATAAAAGCATAATTTTGGAGATTTGCTATACCTATACAGCCTTACATATACAGTATGACTGAAAATATGTTTGTGCCCTTGAGTATAATATTTKACTGTGACTTTCTTCTAACCTCAATTTGCACAGTTGAGTGACTCACCCCACCCACAAAACAAATTTCCATATTTCAAAAGGAAGTTAAATCCAAAGCCTAAATAAAATTAGCTTCCATGCTACATGCTACCATTTGAGATGCTATTACATTAAAAACTATAAACACATCAGAAGTATATTTACATCTAGTCAGATGATAGAAAATGCAAAACACTCATCTCCTCTACAGCAAGAACTAACCAATGCTAAGTCACAAACAGTTACACAAACTTACAGGAAGTGAGTATATACTGTATCCCCCATAAATCCAGACATAATTAGGTGTTTCTTGGTAAGGTCATACATTGGCAATTCCACTCCAACAACAATTGCAGCTCTCTGTGCTGTCAGTGATACTCCCTGGCAAAAGAAAGGACACAGTCAAAGCTTAAATTCAACCTTGGTACACTATTAGAAAAATGAAGCTCTTATAAAGCAACACACCATAAATGTGTTAAGAACATTGTAAATTCAAATAAGGCTAACTGGTACAAATCTTAGATGTACATGCTCCAAAAACACAAATTTGAAATAACATATAAATCACTTCTCCACACAGAATGACAGCTTCAGATCCTCTAAGTTATTTGCTGTCTCTGCCTAACATCTCAATTCTTGCATCAACAGTCAGCTAAAATCTCAAAAACAGTGCTCCTTTGCTGCTAGCTGAAAAACTGACAAAGTAAGGAGGATGAACAGAAAACTGAACATGAAGAAACTTTGTGAGAAAAGCACACTAATAGAAAAACATTCCTCTTTTCCAGCTGTTTCAAAATAATTGTCCATTTTGAGTCTTCAGTTGTTATACAGTCATTGACTACAACTGGCGTAAGAGACAATTTTAAGACTGAATGTGAGAATTCCTGAGCTAGAGGGGATGCTCATTAGCTCCTTTGCTTCCAAATGTTCTTTAGCATGTTTTAAAACAGAGCATAAAGATTTAGAGGCGTTGTGCCAAAGGTTCCTGAACTATTCCTAGAGTCAGTCACCCTAACTGAAGCCTACATTTATCTTCCCTTTCCCAAATGGCAGCTAATCCTTGCACACAAGGCTGGCAGTAACCCTTCACCTGAAAGCACTGAGACACCAGCAGTGAAGAAGTCATGACAAATGACAGACGTATTAAATCCTCCATATTTCAGCTGAGAACACTGTAGGAGTACTTGAAATTCAATTGAGCAAGAAAGTGTACTTGAAGTGTAAGATACAGTTAAAAAAACTTGCCTTCCATAATCCTTTAGTGCCTTCCTTTTGGTAGATCTGTATGAAGTTTCCCATCATTCCTCCTTGAATCACACTACCTTGGGCTTGCATTCTGATCTGAGATTGATTTGAAGATAAAATTAAAAATACGACCAATAAAATAATAAAATTATAATAAACTATTGAATTAAAATTTTAAGCAGCAAAGGCAATTTCTCTTTGAATATAAATTAAACCATGGTGCAATCTTTTGCCTTAACTATCCAAATGCASCTGCTAATTTTGAACAAGTATGTGGCAGAACTTTTAGCTGCATTAAGTCACTTCTATTTCTRTGTAGTACACTCCTCCATTTAGATAAGACTGGCAGATGGGTTCTGCAGGATGTCCTTTACAGTTGTCTCACACTAACATGTTGAAATAAAAGGTTAAAAAGATTAATGCTTCAGTAAGTGAGAACAGTAGTCTTCAACCCTGTACATTTATAAGAACATCCTGAGGAACCTGCCAAGGTAACTTCCAAATACAAGTTTGGCAACACATTAAGTGGACATATTTTTAGGAAGTAACTAATTGAGGTCACACTTGAAATACAAGCTTATGTTCGAAATGCCACTACATAACCACACTAGCACTATGAAGGATTAAGATTTTAGTGGTTTCARAAGAACGTAAGAGTTATCTTGACTTCCTTTTCATTAGGAGCAGATGTATAAGTCACAAGCTCCAGTGTTGTAAGATAAATGCAAGTAACTATAATTAAGCTAATAGTTTCTTAAAGAGTTGATTATTTCATTAATTCACTTTAAATGACTGATACTGGAATGCCATTTCCTTGGGGCACACATTTGCAAAATTCTTAAGGAATCTTACAGTATGAGTAGCACTCACCAAAACTCTTGCATCTGAATTGACGTTCACCTATTTTGAGCTCTAGAAACATCTTAGTGTAACAGCGTTAACAAGAACTACACATGAAATGTGCAGTGTGGCTTCCACACAAACACTACAGCATGAAAGTTACTCTCTCCCCATAGTCAGAAAAAGTTATGTGTATCCAGCTACTGCCCCAGCCTTCACTTTCCTCATGCATACTTCCAAATAATTCATTTGGACCAGAAGAAGGTTCCAAGAATTCAGGATGCTACTGATTTTTTAGAAGTTAAGAGACAAGAATAAATAGGGTTACAAAACAAATCCTATATTCATCAGGAGAGTGTTCTTACTTCAGAAGAGAAGAAAAACTAAAAAGACATGCTCTGCATAATTACCTTTAAGACATCTGTAGGGTTGGCAATAGATGACGAGATTACTCCCGAAAGAACGCCACACAGAACATTCATCATCAGGGTTTCATCTATTTCACAAACAAAAAGAGTTTACATATTTACAAAGCTTAAGATGCATTAGGACAGAATGATGCCTCCTCTCATTTAACCAGAGAGTGCCAGTTACAAAGCCATAAAACCTGCTCTGCTGAGTTATCCTTGGTAACTGGTATAAGGAATGTCTTCTCTGTAGACTTGTTGAAATGCTACAGTAAGATACCAAATGGAAACAATCAGCTTCAAGCAAATCAACCAATTAAATGGAAAATAACCACTCACCTTCTGGACGCTCAACAAATATTCTTTTTAAGCTCTGGTAAGTGCCTATTTTTATAGTTCCATATGAAGCTTGCCGTAGCATWGCAGGTGCAATCCTGTAAAAACAAGCAACAATAACATTTATGCTCAAAAACTGATCAGAAAATACTTCCTAGTGCAGAAAAGTCAGAGACATCTAGCAGAGAAAGGTTTGTTCATTTAAATCAACATTTTAAACTCATTATAAACAAAACAAGCTTGGAGGTTTTTCACATCTCAAACATTTTTAGGTTTTGGTTTTTATTTTTTTAAATAAAGCCTGCAAGAACAAGAATGAACTGTGTAGTGATTACTATTAGATCATGCTTCAACTTGTAATCTATAAAATAGCTGGCAGGCATGTCTGAAACATAATTCCCCCACCAGTTTGCATGTTTTGAAGAAAAGCATGMTCATTTATAGACAAAGGTCAATTCAATTTTAATTCTGAGAGATGGAACAACCATAGCAGCACTGTAGAGAGTACCCTTATGCTCAGCTCTTTTATCAATTAGATTTTGTTGTTTGTTCAAGGGGTTTTATAAATATGAAATGCTATTGCAGTGTGCAGCACTGAAGGTATCTAAGGTTGATCTTCCAAATTCCAGGTTAAGACTAACCAAACACTTTATAATCCTGAAACCCAAATATTCACATACAATGGGCTTATCAATAGTCTGTTCATAAGCCATTGATGCAGGCCAGTTAACCCTACCCAGAGTATAAGGCTTTCAATCCTTCTTCTTTGCATATTCTGATGAGTGCATGCACCATTCCACGGTAGCGGATCTCTTTATATTTGGCATCATTAACTTGACCTTGAACCTGGAGACGTGTTTTGGTCAGATCAATCGGGAAAGTACCTTAAAGGAAAATCAGTGATAAAATTAATCAAGTACCTACCTAACCAAAGACAACAAAGAACATCATCCAAGAAACAGCAACATTTCTTAGACACTAAAATATATAAAAGTACTCTCATGGGAAAAAAGTCATTCTAACCAAGACTTCCTTTTAAAGGAGTGCTTCACATTCTTTCACCTAGTTTCTTCTACAGACCTGTCAGAGGCCCTGCCTACTTCCTGTGTTTACATTCCACATTCACTATATTTTCAGGCAACATGACATTACCTGGTTGTAAACTGCCATGCTGACCAGGATTCTGCCATGCCAAGCATGTACAGAATTTGCAAGTGTATTCTACCAAAACCTTTGAGAAGCACATGACTGAAGGCACATAAATTCTATATGACAAGCTATACAGATTCTGGCCTAGTATCTGAACAAGCAATTGCAGCAGTACCTATTTCTGTCACTGCTTTCCTGCAGCTTGCTGCTAKGTTATGTCCAGTCTCCATGCTTCCCATCCCAAAGGGTTCAGAAAGCAAATCCATCCAGGAAAAAGGCCATCTCAGCATGCCATACTCACCTAAGCACTAACAGCAGTCAAGATTAACTACACCTGTTCAAATGAGGYTTACCAGACAAACAAAGCTTTCACAAATTGTCTTCCTTACAAAGCTTTTGGCATTATTGGCCATATCCAGTCAAGTCATAGTTTCAAACTCATGTTTGCACAAGTTTCCTAAGCAGAAATCTGTCCCATCCYGGAAATCATTCAAAGTCAGATTGAACAAGGCTTTGAGCAACTTGAGCTAACTGAAGATGTCCCTGCTCAAAGCAGGGGGGTTGCATTTCAGATAAGATAAGGACAGTGATATTTTAGGTTTGTCTTTAGAGTAGACCTAAAACATCAGCTGTCCTGTCTCACTACAGCAATTATTTGATGATGCTTACTGCCAAATTTAAGTGTTCAAATCTAAGCAGCCACTTACATTCAAGAAAAGGGAATTTAAACTGYAACATAGATACTCAGGAAAGCTAAGAGAAAAATGTACAGGTTCAGAGCTTAACTTGTCTATGTAGCAAATCAAAAAGAGTACCWACTTATGACACTGTCTAGGAACACATCACACAAATACCAAATAATAAAACATAAAGGTAAAACACGTATAAAAACGAGACTCAGCAGGGATGAGAATTTACAGACACACGTGTTCTGACATTGATATAATCTCTGTTGCAACTTTCCAATCAGCATTATACAAAAAAACTATGCTGTAGGCCACAATACTCCAATAGTACTACTGTGTCACTGACAGCATGGAACCAAACTTGTTTTACATAGGGACTATCCAAGTGAAGAAAATAAATTCAACACTTAAAGGAAACACTTACCACATTCTGCTGTGATCGATGCTAAACCTCCGTAGATAAAGGGCTTCCAGTTCAGTGCTGGCATTATTGGTTCCTCTTTCTGTGAAAGGGGAATATTTAATGCTTTTGTAAGTACAGGTCATAAATACATTAACACTTAGTAAAATCTTGGTGCCTGGTCCATTTAAAATGGACCTTTCAAACACTCCAGTGGTAAAAAAAAAAAAAACATTTAATACTTTCGACAATCAGAAGAAAGTGAGGAAAACCACAGAGAGGCATCTGGGTTCATATCAGTGTCTATTGTGTATTTGGGCCATCACTCTCCTCACCATGAAAGGGTAAAGCAGTTTGTCTCCCAGGCACAATGTTAAGGAGCACTGCAGTGTATCGCCTCCAAAGGTTTTTACCAAGCTGAACTAGCTCAAMTACATCCTGCAATCAAGTAGAACTTTTAAGACAGTCATTACAAAACTTCATTTTTCTGATTAGTAGCATCAACGTGAGCTGAGCTGGTCCACTTGGACAGAAAAAATAAGGGTGCATACACCACCTTGCTTCATTTAGACCTATTTCTGCTACCAGTGTTCACAATATTAATTCTTGTGACTGTTRCATGAAAATTGTGTCAATTAAGTGAATGACACAAATTGCAATTAACTATAGCATATGCTTTGCAAGATGTTAAAAGTAATCCAATTATCTTAGAAGAGATAACTTCAAAACCAAACTAGTCCAGCCAATACAAGATTGCCCTTCCCAAAACAAAGCAGGTCTCTCCACAGGTTATTTTTCYCTTCCTCACAATATAAATACATTTCATTTCTGTAATATCCTCCTAAACATTGCAGTCTACTCTCATTTTTGCCAATCAATTTTATGGGGGAAATTGTACTTGCAAGTATTTCCATTGGCACCTACACTCCCCTGCTCATTCACCCATAGCACCCAGCTGGAAAATATCACCAATACACCAGTTTACTTAGCCCTGCCGTTTGTACAGCTGAACCTTCTTTAGTCYCCTCCTCTAGAAATTCCAATAATCCAGCACCTAAATAAATTTTCAGAATTGCGGACACTCAGCAGGCCTGAACAGTTTCTGCAGCACTARTTTTCCTTTTATCATCTTCACTTCATGAGGAGTTACCTGGGTCCTCTGACAGAAGAGGGAAAAAAGAAGCTAAAAACTACACATATTCAAAAAAAAAACACACATATTCAACACACATGTAAGAAATCCATCTTACTCTTCCAAACAAAGCAAACAAACAAAAAAAAAACAAACCAAACAAAACCAACCAAACCACCCACCAAAAAAACAAAACAAAAAAGTAAACAAGTAAAGACAAATAAGGACACCCCACTATACTGCAAAAAAGAATGCAGTACAGAGGTCTGGACAAACAGGCTTAGACTATGCCAGCTTCTCAATATGAATGAGGCAGAGCCACATGGACATGACCCTGTATCAGAGGAAGGCCAGTTCCAGTTCCAAGTTCCTCATAATCCTGTTCTGCTATGACTAAYGGCAGATCCTTTAATTAAAATAGACAAACCCAAGCTCAGTTTGACCACTGTCAGCCACAAACCTGATCTTTGCTCCTGAGAAACTCATCAAAATTGACAGTTAAGCCCCTCAACAAATTAAAACAAATTTTCATCTATCACAAATACTGTTACACTAATACAACTAAAATATATCCTTTTTCTGTTTGTTTCATATTTTACTCTGCCTCGACAATGAATACTAYTCACTTTTTCTAAGTAATTCTGAGCACAGCCAAATAGTTTTCAATTTGCACAGATTTACAAATTATTCAATATATACAGAATTAATACAGATTATTAGTTSAAGCTTCAATATATACATAGTATACCCTAACAAAAAAATTTTGTAGCACACTCTTCTTTTGACAGAKCCCAAGGTGAAGGTCAAGGTCTGTACATCTGAAAGGCTTGTGAGTCTCAACTCCTGCCGGTATGCCAAATTAACCCTATGAATCTTTCCACTTCCATCCTCCAGCCCTCCTTCTAGATTTCCATACTTTAGGCAAAAGTAGGGAGAAGTAGAAAGGAGAAAAAAAAAAGAGTACAGAGGAAGAGTTCTAAAAAAAAAAAAAAAAAAAAAAAAAAAAAAAAAAAAAAAAAAAAAAAAAAAAAAAAAAAAATCAAAAAGACACACCAGCCAGTAATTTCGCCCCATGACCTCAGCTGTCTCATTTTCCGTTCATATTCCGAATTCTTGGTTTGCTTCGTATTCAGAACTCCTTCCCTATATCAACAAAAATAGTAAATGTCTCCTTAGAAGAATCCCGTACCAGTTGAGTGAGTGACAAACTAGTTAAAAAGATAATCCAGCCATCATTTTCAAATAAATTAAGGTCTCCAGTTTTCCTAGAAAAATACTATCTTTATCAAACATACACTGTTGTACCCTGAACATCAATGATGCCAGAGAGGCTATTCGACTCTAAAGGACATTGGAGATTCATCCACGCACTTTCTGCAGAGATCAGAAGYGAGTCTTCTTTCTTTTAACCACAGCGTGACCGGAATAAACCCAAAAGCCCGGRTTCCATAAAAGAATGAATCACTTAAATAGCTCGGTATTTCCCTCATGGGAGAGCAGGCTTGAAAAGTCACACATCAAATTATACATCGGGCGAAAACATCGCTAACGTACTAAGTACACAGTATACTGGAGTTTGTAGAAGTTTTAGCTACTGAAAATGGACTCGGCTCCAGGGAGGCAATAACGACTGCATAAACTACACACGAAAGATGGTCTCCCACCCCCCCATGACCTGAAGACGACAGRAGTAGAACAGCCACCATATCTCCACTCACCACCGAGCCCTGCCAGACTCTGCGTCCCGCCACGCCGATCCCTCCGCTCCCAAATCCCAGCGCCACTCCCCGCGGCCGCGGCGGCTTTTGGGGAACGCGGGGCTCCGCCCCGGGGCGGGCTGATTCGAAGGGCCGAGCCAGGAGTGGGGTGTGGAAGGGGTGGGTGTAAAGCCGCGGTTGGTTTGAAGGGTCCGCCGAGCCGGCTGTAATTATCGGGGGAAAAGATTAACTACGCTGACCTTGCAGTCAGCGGTCTCCCCTCGCCGCTGGCCTTGGGACACTACTGGGCACGGGGGCATTTTCCATTAGCATTCCTGCCCCAGGAGAACGGAGCGGCTGTGCCGGTGTTTCAGCTTTCCCCGGTTAACGAGTGGGTAACTCGCCCCGCAGGGTTTCTCCTCATCATTACCTGTAAGGACATTGATTTTGCCCCTCGGTTTACGATCATATGGGCGCATGTGCTGGCAGCGACTGCTCCGCAGTACCTGGGCTAAGCTTTCCTGAGGCGATACAGAAACCTTTAGCTMCCTGCTGTGTGAGGGAACTCAATAATTACTTTGCTCTTTAAAATACTCCCTTGAATATTGACAMAACGGTTACACAGGTGACTTACTGTTACTATCATGATTACGCGGTTTTATGCAATTCTAACTAGGTATCTTCGCATTACCGGCGCTGAAATTATGGATTCAGTACACAAACTTTACGTAGCTTTGTRACACATATCCAGTGCCTGTCCAAAAGGAAAGGGGCTATCCAGCCCGGCAGATCTCAACCTCTCTACAGGTGACAGTCACCACTCCGTGAAGGCTGGATGAGTGCCAGAACTACTCCGGTCCAGAGCTCAGGGCTCCCTGGGAAGAAATAGTTGGAAATAGCTGGAATCAGCTCTTTCGCTGCCCGTAAAGGCAGAGTGTTCTTGGCAACTCGGTGCTCTCTATTTCTGAGTGAAGAGCTGCCAGGAGTGCTCCTAAGGACATACCCCCACGATGCAGCCCTGCTGCTGCTGTCAGTCCACTGCCTTGGAAGCGGATGGCATGCGCTACCCCGGAAAGGGCAAAACACCCTGCGGCATTGCTSCCCTCGCTAATCTCAGGGAGAGGCTGGAGGCTAGGAATCTTTATTTAAGCTTATTGTCTGGTGGAGAAAGGGGTAACGCCTGCCCAATTCTCAATAAGAAGCTGGATGTAGCCTTGCTGGATGCAATATTTGATAAAGCATAAGGAATCAAAAATTTGGGTTCCAGTATGCTGTAAGTGCTTCATACAATGAAAATAGTTCCRTAAAGCAATCCAAATCCATTAGAAACTTCCCAGAAATTTTACATTTCAGTTGTTAAAGGATGAGCAGCCCACAGAACTCATGCTCTCATCAGTGTTGCAAAGTTGTCTTTGCAGGTGAGCGTCACAGAATGTAGCTACAAACTCCTRCCTCAGAACTGGTATTCATGTTCTGACCCAATCCTGAAATTCCTAGTAACTGGCTAATACTTTACAGGTTTTATGTCTACAACAATTAGTAGTGCAATCTTACATGAGGTAAACTTTGAATGGCTACTTTCTTTTTGCATAGAGATCATTTGGACTGGTTCTAACATTGACTGATTTTGCAGCCACTTTGATTGGCAGCCACTCAAATTTCTGTCTCCCTTTAAGAAGGGCTTTAGTTCCCCTCTGACCTTGAGTTGGCCAGCTTCTTCCACAGGCAGATGGGTTTTATTACCTCTGATGAAAATCAGTTCCTGCTCACAAGTCATATCTTGCACCCAATCATATTTCTTAAGCACTTGCCAGTTCTCAGCTGTGTGTTTCTCAATATAGAGGAATTCAGGTGAACTTTTGCTACTGCTACTGACTTTTGCATGGGTCCTCTGAATAACATCTTCTGTTGTATTTTCAATCCAATTCATACTACATATGAGATACGTAATGCCTTTATCAACATCCAATGCACTGCTTTTGGCAAGCTGCCTTGAACCTGACATCTGCGTCATACCAGCATTGACTTAGGTGCTCAGCATCTTTTCACATATCTCTGAACGATCTATGTGCTACTGATTACACAGTCTTACGACAGCTTTGTCAAAGAGCCAGTTCTTTCCCAATGGGCTATGTAGGGCTAAGATTTAATTAATTAATTCCCAGACTCCTAAACTTACTGCTCCTGATTTTCCTCACACATTTTTTGTTTCTCTTTTTGAAGTAAAAGGAGACTGCCCTCAAACAATTTTATCAGGGAGATCTGTTCTTTATGCATTCTTTCCTGTTGCACTATTTCCACTGCTGCTTAAAATGGAAAATCATTTCACTTCTAGTCTCTGCAGTGGTGAAGACAATGTTGTGAAGTCTCCTGCTGTTTAAATGAATGATTAGTGAAGAGACACAGATGGCTACAGGTATTGTTCAAACTGCCTTGTCTTTTTGTCACTAGTTGTAACCTCTGGAGAGTTTCCTTTGTCCCTTGGAAACTTTCACAATTATTAGTTACATAATTTATTTGCATTTTTCATGTTCCATGTGCTGCCTGCTGAGAGCAGTTCTAGGGCATGGGAGTCAACATCTCCCTGCCCTGRCACAGCTCCCTCACCTTCAGCGTTTGTACTTTCTCTCTGAAGAGCAGTTTATCTGACCCTCAGTCATACAGCAGATGACCTTGTTGGAAAAATAGACACTCAGTGTGCTATTGGCATGTGTAAAAATGTAAGACATATTAAATTGTACATTGCRTTTGCCAGGGGCAAAGCCTCAGCCTGGAGCACCACATCCAGCTATGCGTGGTGTGTTTCAGGAGGACTGTAGAGAAGAGTTAGGAAAATAACATTAGGAATACAAAACACAATCTGTAAGGACAAATTGAAAGTAACAGACTTTTTTTTTTTTAATGAGGATAACATAATCTTCAAGACTGAAAGTTATACATAAAGAGAAACTTAATTATCTGTTCTCCACCACTTAGACATAAAACAGACTTTCTAATGGTAAGGACAGTGCTAGACGAGACTGACTATGGAGTTTGCAGTACCTTCATCATCACCAACTTTTAAAAACCGTCAAGCAGCTGTTTTCGAGACATAATTACAACCTGGATTACCCAGCCCAAGCATTGGAATGGACTCTCAAGTCTCTTTCCAGCCCTTTTTTCTGTAATTATTCAATGACATTTCCTCCTCCAGCTGCTAGTATATGTCATGTAGGCATACAATAACAAGTCAATTGAAGTTTCTAACTTACTAACAGACTCTACTGTGCAGATGTCAAGGAGAAATCAAAGTGRAATCAGGAATAACAATAAATGTTATTTTGTAGCCCTTTCTTAATAAATATTTTTTATAATCTGTTTTGGGGTCTGGCATTTGCAAGAGCCAAAGGTCTTTACTGTATCATTGCTTTGTGSATACAAAAGGGTCATGTTATTTGTTTTAATGGGTAAAGGGTGAMGGAGCAGAGGGCAGTTTCAGGCTTTGAGGGTGAAGGAACTTAGAACAGTTTCCGAGTGGATGAGAGTCACACRGCATAAGGTCCCAGCAAGGCAGTTCTAGTAAATGTAAACTTTTAAATCAAACAAAAYTTTCTGAAAGTGTTGCAATCTTGCAGCAGATCCTGGGAAATCCTGGGAACTCGATTTCTCTTCTTTTTTGAGACTCCATACAGATATGATAATTCCTATGTACGTCACAGCGTTGGATTTGTTGTTATTTGAATGAGCAAATGAAAAGCTGCTGAAGTTGCTTGGATAGGAAGGCACTATAGGAGGCTTTTCACTACTACAAAATACTTTCCAACCTCAACAGTGATCTGTTGTCCTCTGTATTCTTGCTAAATAAAGATCAGTCACAGTTGCTTCGCAGAGACACTTGTCCAACATGGCATTGCACTAAAYAAGAGGCAACTGGAAGAAACCATGTCAATTTAAATGCTGGTAGATGCAACACAACAAAAAGCAAATATTTTTCTATGTCCTACTAAAAACCAGACAGAATATGGTGTGAGATACAGCCTAACCTCTTCCACAAGGGAGATGATTCAATGTTGAATGAATGATGGAGAGGTTGACATGACACCAGATAATATTTTACATATGGTATGCCACTTTCAGTACATCTCTTACTGTCAGTACTCKATATCCAGGGATAGTAGGGAACATCTGTTGGGGGAAACACATATTTTTGGAAGCATCTGATGGGGGAAATACATATTTGCGCTAGACTATGCTGTGAAAGCAGAGTTGCAGTTGAAGTAGTTCTACAGCAAGAGAAAAGTGACTCAACAAGACAATGGTCAGGGAGATGTGCTGGCAGGTGACCCCAAGCCATGTCCTTCACAGTGCAGGATTTAGGTTGATCAGAATAYGGAACTGCCTATGTAAGAAAATTTCAAGCTTTCAGTGCTGTTACTTCTTAAAGGAGCCTCACTATTCTCTTTCCTTATTCTCAATTTTTGATGATTTTCCTCCAGTGCTTACAGAATGCCTTGCATTAAATCATTACCCAAATAATCGAGTGTTTCTCCTGTTAACTCGAGTCTGGCTTTGGGTAACCTARCTTTTACTATCAGCATTTGACTACCATTTCTGTCCTTCTAAACTAAAAAATGTACTTTATAAAATCTTGTAAAATTAAGCATTTAAGTAACTTTTTTTTTTTTTAATTAAAAGTTATGAGCAGGCAGGATGCTTTCTGAAGAAATATTCTCTTGCTTTGCAGGCCTGCTGATCCACAAGATGACAAGGCCAGAACTAACACTATGTTTGGCTGAGATGAGCTGAYTGCAGCTAACCTTCAAAAAGGCAGGTTATTCTGCACAGCCGAGGATAACATCTGTGGGATTTTGTCTTTGTGGTAATCATCCATCACAAAAAAACATGTCCTGAACAAGTCAGTCACGATCTTTAGTGTGTAGGGAGACTCCTTGCTGATGCTGCAAAACAGAGGTCATGGGTAGGAGCTCAGGTCTCTACGGGCTCCTAGTAACAAAGACTGGCAGAGCAGGAAAACAATTGTGTTCCAGGGGTCAAAGAAGTACAAACGACAGTGAGAGACATTCTGGTTTTCCAGGAAACATGGCAGCTGACATGTTTCC